TCTGTGTATGGATTTACCTTTACTGTCTATAGTGCTTCACCGTCACCATCTATGAACTTAGTGAATGCCTTATTCACCATTGGCTTATTATATACAGTATTGCATATCAAGGAACTCATTTTTGCCTCAAAAGATTGTTGCACTGGGCTCATGCTCACAGAATTTACTGATCTTTTCATGAACTTTATCATCCCACAGCTGGCCTGAGAGAATGACATATTGAAGACTCAGTTGGGGCACCTGTTAGGTGAAAACATTTTGTGGGGCTAAGGTGCTGTCCCACAAAATGTGGTTTATTTTCTGAACCAGTGACCAGTATATGGTACCATTTCTCCTATTTCAAGAATACACAAATCTGTGAATCAAAGAGTGGGATTAGGAGGGTTTTTTCTGTTACCTCAAACGATCCACTTAGAAAATTTTTGCTTCTCCCCCAACCCCCACCGAAACAAACAAAAACTTGGCTTACACACCTTAGTTCCCAAGGAAAAATGCTTTCAATAGAGGACACATAAAAGGGAAACTGTAAACTGAGACTGCCATCTGGCCACTTTGTGTTCTCCGTGCCTTTGAACCAGTAGACAGGAGGAGGATTCTGTACAAGGTCAGGTGATTGATCCGGTCTGATCCTCATTATCAAGAAAAAATAGGGTTCCTACTACACATGGGAGGATGTATGTTAGGAACCCAGGGGATTCTCTGACCTTTTTGGTACTCCTATGTCCAGTGACAAAAGATAAGGAAAAACTGCAGTAATCCAGTGCCATAAGGGTCACTAATAGTACAGACCCCTGAAAGTATGGGTCATCCCACTGGGCAAAGAACCATAATCAGTAGAGATGCTGGCTGAGCAAAAAGGGAATGAGGGATGGGTAGTGAAATAAGAAAATGATTGAACCCCAAACACAGCTATGTGACCAGTCACAGAAATGAAGTCTATAATAGCCATGTATTTTCCTCATTGCTTTGATATATATTGATATTTATTTTATATATTAAGCATTTTTTTTCTGCCTCTTTCTCACTCTTCTACCAGTCAGTATGCAGTTGATGGAAATTTGGGTTCTTTCCACTTTTGGGGTGTTATGAATAATGCTGCTATGAATATTCTACCAGCTTTTGTGTGGGTATATGTTTTCATTTCTCTTGGCCATATACCTAGTTTTATGGAATTACTGGGTCATAAGGTGACTCTGTGGTTAACATTTGGAGGAACTGCCAAACTATTTTCCAAAGTGGCTGCACTATTTTACATTCCCACACACAACTTACGAAGCTTCCAATTTCTTGTTATTATCTATCTATCTTTTTGATAGCCATTCTAGTAGGTGTGAAGTGGTATCTCATTGTGGGTTTTTTGATTCACATTTCCTTAATAGCGAATGACATTGAGCATCTTTTCATGTTGTTATGGGCCATTTGTATATCTTCTTTTTCCATTTAAAAATTTGGTCATTTGTCTTTTCATTACTGAGTTGTAGAAGTTCTTTATATATTCTGGATACAAGTATCTTATTAGATTTATGATTTGCTATTTCCTCACATTGTGTCGTCTTTGCAGTTTTTTGATGGTGTCTGTTGAAGCACAGAAGCTTTTAATTTTGATGAAGTTTATCTTATTTTTTCTTTCATTACTCATGCTTTTGGTGTCATATCTAAGAGGGGTTTGTGTAACTCAAGGTCATGAAGATTTACTATGTTTTCTTCCAAGAGTTTCATAGTTATAGCTAGCTCTTAAGTTTAGGTCTAGGATCCATTGGAGCTAATTTCGGGGGATGAAATAAGGAAGAGGTCCAACATTCATTCTTTAGCACATGGATATCTAGTTGTCCCAGCACCATTTGTTGAAAAATTTTCTTTATATATTCTGTACATGGTTGGCTCTTAAATGTTATGAAGTCAGTTTCTACCTTTTAAGATGTGAGCATTAAATGAAACAACATGTATGAAAGTGCCTTGCATCACGCAGGGCATAGTTGGCTCTCAACGAGGTCTTGGCACGCTTGTCCAAGAGCAATTGACCATATATATGAGGATTTATTTCTGGACTCTCAATTCTATTCCATTGATCTATGTGTCTATCCTATGCCAGTACCACGCAATCTTTGTTACTAAAGCTTTGTAGTAAACTTCGAAATTATTCTTCTTTCTCAAGATTGTTTTGGCTAATCTGGATCTCTTGCATTTCCATATGAATTTTAGGGCCAGCTTATATATCTCTTGTACCAAAAAAGCCAGCTGGGATTTTGGTAGGGATTGTGTTGAACCATAGATCATTTTGGGGAGTATTGCTATCTTAACAATATTAAGTCTCCTGAACCATGAACATGGGTATTTTTCTACTTATTTAAGTCTTCTTTAATTTCTTTCAACAATATTTTTTAGTTTTCAGAATACTGGTTCTGCACTTCTTTTGTTAAATTTATTCCTAAGTATTTTATTCTTGTTGATGCTAGTGTAAATGGAATTGCTTTCTTGGGTTCATTTTTTGATTATTCATTCCTAGTGTGAAGAAATAAAATTGATTTTTTGCATATTGATCTTGTACCCTGCAACCTTTATGATCTCATTTATTAGTTCTAATAGTTTTCCAGTGGATTTTTTAGGATTTTTCTGTATACAATCATGTCATTTACAAATAGAGGTAGTTTTACCTCCTCCTTTTCAATCTGGATGCCTTTTACTGAGGCCTGCTTTTATTTATTTAATTTTTTAAAGATTTTTTTTTTGATGTGGACCATTTTTAAAGTCTGTATTGAATTTGTTACAATATTGCTTCTGTTTTATGTTTTGGTTTTTTGGCATGTGGGATCTTAAGCTTCCCTATCAGGGATTGAACCCACACCCCCTTCATTGGAAGGTGAAGTCTTAACCACTGGACCGCCAGGGAAGTCCCGTGAGGCCTCTTTTTAAATGAGATCTACAGTAGTTATGTTTAGTTGTCCTTGCCATCTATTTTCTTTTTTATACTACTAATTTTTATACTACTAATGTTAAGTATATACAAACTAATGTATTAAGATCCTAATATGTCAATTCTAAGTAATTATTGAGTTTAAAAGGATTTTTTGGCCATTTTTGATATTTTGTGTATATATTGTAAATTCTAGGGGAAATACAGAACGCATATAATGCAGGAAAAATTGAAGTTATTGACTCTGATATTGGTAATTAAAATCTTATCAGAATTAAATATATCTTTATCCATACATTTAACTGTCTTGTTTTTACTTTTTATAATTATTTTTAAAAGTAACTCTAGTGTGGGTAATTCTAAAACTCAATTTAGATACAAAATATAAACAGCATGAAAATAATTAGGTATCTTTATAATTATCAGTAGTGTGTGTTAAAGTCATTATGTTAAAACATTCCTGTGATTGCAGATATTGAGTGAACTAAATTATGATAAAGTCCTTTTGGACTTTGACAAGCCAGGGCATTATTCTGAGTTTCCACTGGTGAACACACCAATGAAATTTAGTATCTCTCTAATATCCTTGAGGTTTTATTTGCTGTCTACTCTCAATATAGTTTATTATTTCCTTCTTAATACTTCAAGATCCCTTTAGCAAAAACAATCTAGTGACTATCTAAATGGAGACAGCCACCCAATTACAAAAAAAGGAAGAAACAAATGTAAGATATTAAGGACACCAAAAGCACAGTGCTGATAGTGAAAACACTGTTTCTAACTAGAAGATAAAAAGAGTTATATTGACTGAGTCATTCCTCAGTTTTCCATGCCTTTTCAGTTTTCATAGTTTTTCTTTACAGTATTTTATAAGGGGCTTCATGGAAGGAAAAAGAAGAGGAAGAAGGGTTGTAGTCAGGGTTACAAATGAAAGGTAATCTATCTGGATAAGATTTGAAAAGCATCTATGTTGAATAGCTTACTTTGTTCATATATTAAATTCCTAAGTCTCTATACTATTTCATGAAATGTTATTCTCTAGGTTGGTTTTTCCTGTTACCCCAGCCATTATATCTAACCATTAAATAACAAATGTTTAGAAAATCAGAGGTTTGGCTTTTTTATTATTTTTTTTAAACGCACACTTCTCCAACACATTTCTTTAAAGGAATGGATTTTGAAGAGAAAAAACACGGGGCAGAGAGGTATGGAATAGAAAATACAAATGTAAGCTGTTTTGCTAATTGCTTTATGACCACAACAAACTAGTACAGAGAATGCCCTGTACAAAACAACACAATAAAGATCGAGGTGTTCCCTTAGGCAAGGCTGAAGATTTCAGTCTCTGGTATTTGGAATTTAGGTTGCAGTCCTTGTTTTTGGACGGATCACTGGGTGTGTGGCACAGTCCATGCTTTTAACCAGATTTGAACAGGAGAACGGCCACTTGGCCCAGGTAGAAGTAGATGAAGTGTTTGGTTTCATGTGTCACATAACTACCGAAGTTCCTCCCCACGATGCAGTGCCAGGTGGGGTTATACTTCTTGTCAAACTGCTTCTTGATATGGGCTGCAATGTCCTTCTCTATATTATATTTCTCCAATGCCTGAGTAGCACACTCCACCGAGCCCTGTTGTATCTCCTCCGACATATCGGCATTTTTGATCACAGCCTTTCAGTCACACATGGTTACCGAAGAGCAGGGTCTGGCCCACTGCAACGGTCTCCTGGGGGAGGGGCTGGCGAGGCTCAGACCCTTTGAGAGTAGCGATCCCTACTGAAGCCATGGTGCATCTATCAATCAGAGGTTTTTAAAAATTATCACTAGCTTGAGTAACAGCATCATGAGAATCCTGTCATGTCCTGTAAAGTGAGTGACTTCAGGGTCGTGTTTAACAGTATTCCTCTCTATTAGCATGTATGTTGGAAATAGTATACTATTTTATGTCCATGTTTATAAATAGAGTCTGTTTCTTAGGTAAGTCAACAAATAAGATAAATAATGATATTACCTGTGGGAATCTCCTTCTTAGCCTCCTTGTGAAGATATTATGTGTAATGCTGGGTTATTTTGCTTGTTCCTCAGATTCTAACGGTAGAATTAACCCTGGGCGAATTGCTTACATTTCTTCGAGGAGTTGCTGTATTCCAGATGAGAGCTATGGCTGCCTGTCTTCAAACATTCCTGCATTGGAATTGATGGCTCTGTACGTGGCAGCTGCCATGCATGATTACGACCACCCAGGGCGGACAAATGCATTTCTAGTGGCTACAAATGCCCCTCAGGTAGGAACTACTTTTTCAGAAAGTTTAAGGAGTGGTTCTGAAATTTTACAGCCATACTGTATTTCCCTTTGTAAACCATTCTTCAATTGAATCATTTGGCCGTTGGATAATAACACACGGCAGTGATATGACATGTGCTTGTGCTGAAGAATTAGGGAAAAATCATCTTCAGCTGGAAAATAAATAAAATGTTCCTGAAAGAGTAATTCGCTACTTTTATGAAATTCTGGAGTCTTTGCTGTCAATATCTTTGCCTTTGATCAAATTGATAAGACTTTGACTAGATGTAAGACTTACTCTTCCTTCTAGCAAGATCCTTCATATGCCTAAAAGCTATAATGACTGAGAACTGTTATTATTTTTGTTGTTGTCCTCTTTTTTTCTCTAAGACATACCTAATATGCAGTCTCTTAGGTCTGCATATATTCACATATGTAAAAAATCTTCTAGTACATTATTTCTGTATTCAGTACAGCTGATAAGGTGCAAGATTCCTTTAGGGTCACAATTTGCATGAGAGGTAGGAGTCCCCAACAAATGGATATTGTAATTGCGATGACTTTAAACATTAGGACTTGGAACTAGATAGTCAGTCCTCCATATCCAGGGTTTCTGCCTGCATGGATTCGATCAACTGCAGATCAAAAATATTTGAAAATTTTAAAAATTCCAGAAAGTTCCAAAAAAAGCAAAACTTGGAATTTGCTGCACACTGGCAACTATTTACACTGTATTAGGTATTATAAGTAATCTAGAGAAGATTTAAATTATACAGGGGATGTGCGTAGGTTATATGAAAATACTACATCATTTTATTAATAGACTTGAACATCTGCAGGGGTCCTAGAACCAATTCCCTGCAGATGCTAAGGGATGACTATACTTGGTTTTAAGCAGAATTTAGTGTGGTTGTGAATTTTTGTTTAGGCTGGTGATTCCTGAAATGTCAGCTTTGTATTTCTGCCTGCCTGCCTTACAAAGAGCAAGTTGTCAATGATTGTTTGCTGAATTCATCTTACTTCCTCACTTTGTTGCTCTGTGTTCAAAACTCAGTTCTGATTCTTTCATCTTTTATAGCCATTCTCTGTGTTCCTTTTCTCATTTCTCTGACACACTCCCACTGCTTAAAATATAGGAGATAGATTCTCTACCCAGAACAAAATTCAGAGAGAGAGAGAAGATTAAAAGTGCTATGTAAAAAAAAAAAAGTGCTATGTAATTCATTTTCTCCAGTTAGACTTCATCTCTTCATAGCTCATGATTTCCACAGGTAACTTTTAAATGAATTTCAATCTAGATACTAATATTTTTCCACTTTCTAAGAATTGCTTTGGGAGAAATTTCCCACTAAGGAACACATTTCCTCATTTGCAGTCCCATTCTGCAAGAATCAGACGCCCATTTTCTCTAGCCTAGCACTTCACAATCCTCGTCCTATGGCAAGTCACAGACCTGGGCAGTAGTGGCACAGTGGAAAAAGTACTGGTCTTCGGATTGAGAGACCTGAGTTTAATTTCTGGTTACCTACTATTAGCTGTGTGACATTAGGCAAGTAACCCTTATCTTTCTGAACCTCAAAATACGTACCTGATATGACTAAAAGAGATAACATTTGGAAAGTTTTCTACTGAATCAGATATCATGTAGACAGAAATTATTTACTATTCTATTCCACCCTCTGCTTTCATTCTCTCTTTATTGGCTTTGAGTATAGGTGAGTCAGACTTGTTTATTACCTCTTCTTCAAGGATATTACAAGTTAGTGAATTCTAGTGTTACTTGTCTTGCATGCAGATAATTGAAAACAATGACACATGAATGTAATTTATATAAGTTGTATACTCAAAACTGTTGTCCTGATCAAAATACAAACATGAAGTCTGGACACAATCAGTATTTCTAAATTATGTTATTTCTAAATTCTCTATGTTATTTCTAAATTCTCATTGTTAAGGACTGCCAAGAGATGAAGCAATGGAAAGGGCTGGACTGGAAAGGAAATTGATCAGAGTTCAGCTATGAAAAAGTATAGCCTTTTACCTAGTCTCCTTGCTTACTTCCTGCTCCCCTTCAGTCTGGTTTCAACACATAGCAGCCAGAGTGGCCCTGTTTAAACGTGCATTACATCACTCTCTGTTCCAAGCCCTCACTCCTAGTAAAAGACAGTCATTACAGTGGCTCTGAAGGCCCTACACGATTTAGCCCCCAGTAATTCTCCTTTTTAAATTCACTCAGATCTAGCCTCACTGGCCTCCTTGCTGTTTCCTTCCATGTGCTGGCACACTCCCTTTCTAAGAACCTGGTCAGTTTCTGTTCTCTCTGCCCAGAGTGCTCTTTCCCCAGACATATATTGGGTTAGCCAACAAGTTCATTTGCGTTTTTCCATAACATCTTACAAAAAACCCTAACGACGTTTTTGGCCAACCCATTATATAGCTCACTTTGTCACTTCCTTCCACCTGAAATTTCAAAAGCCCCTCCCTGGCACTCATTATGTTCCTCCCCTGATCATAACAATGGTCATTCAGCATACGGTGTATTTTGCTTGTGTATTTTGTTTATTCCATGCCTCTCAGAGGAGTATAAGTTTCCAAGAGGGCAGGGATTTTTATCTCTTTTATTCCCTAATACCTAGAATGGTGCCTAGCACACAGAAGGCATTCAGTAAAAGTTTGTTGAATGTTGAAGGATCCCTAACTTCTTTGCTCTGCAGGACCGCTAAGCTTGTCTGAAATACACTCCATTGTTCCCAAAGTGATGAAATTCTTGAGACCTTCTTCAGCTAGTGCCTGTGAGATAAGGACTCTTTTGTGAAAGCCTGAGGCCTAACCTGTTTATTAGGTAATAAAGCAGTCTCTCTCATCTTAGGAAGCTCAATAGGTCTAATCAGGCCATAAATAGTGAAAGATATTATTGCTCTGGTGTATGATAAAAAGGGACAATAGTGTATACCACCACCAACTGGATCAAGCGTTCTTCATTCTCATGGTAAGAGAAGTGTGTGGGAAGACTCAGGAGGATGATTTTGAATCCTTGCCACGAGAGAAAGGGAAACATTTAGTCAGCTTTATCCTGGAGGGATGTCAGTATTGAAATTCTAAGAGATTTCTGAGCTATTTCCAAATGAAGAGTTGGCTGAAAGACGGAGATTAGTGACTGAGATGTTAGAGTTTGTAGAATATTTTGATTTGGGGTAAAAGTAAACAAAACTTTGAGAATGGTAGATCTGAGACAGTCATCAATGTTTGTCCTCCCAAATATAGATCAAGATGGTGACTAAACAAGTACATTTTTCTCCTTTTCCTCCTGATCAAAATATTAGTAAGGGATGAAGCTCATTACAACAGAGAGGAGTTGGCGGGGGGATATTATCACCAGTAGGTTAAAGAATTTCATACTGTTTCTGGAAAATGAAAAACATGTGGGCAAATATTACGAGATTAAAGTATACTAGAAGGGGGCTTCCCTGGTGGCACAGTGGTTGAGAGTCCGCCTGCCGATGCAGGGGACACGGGTTCGTGCCCTGGTCCGGGAGGATCCCACATGCCGTGGAGCGGCTAGGCCCGTGAGCCATGGCCGCTGTGCCTGCGCATCCAGAGCCTGCGCTCCGCAACGGGAGAGGCCACAACAGTGAGAGGCCCGCGTACCACAAAAAAAAAAAAAAAAAAAAAAAAAAGTATACTAGAAGGGAGCTGAGGCCTAAGTGGAACCCTAGAGACTCCTGATGCAATTTGCCTTTGTCTGCTCTACACACACACGCCTCCCACATAACACACACCAAACACCTTTAAGCAAAGCTACTGTATTTACTGCATTTACTTCCAGGCAGAAAACACATCTCTTAGATATTGAAGAAAATGGCCAGGAGAGATTTAATACTCCAGAGTAAATCCTTCTCATTTTTGAAATCACACTGGTAATTCTAAAGCAAAACCTGCTAGGTAAACAGGCCCCATCCATGTTTACAGGATTCCTACTCATCCTTCCCAATTAAAGAGACTCAGCAATAAAACATACACAAGGCTATTCAATGCATACTATGAATATTATTGAACAAAACAGGCAAAAAAAATATTCTGCCCCCATGGAACTTACATTCTAGTAAAGCAAGAAAAAACAAATAAGTGTGTGTGTGTAAAAGACAGAGAGATGATTATGACATAAGTGCTAGGAAAAAAGTAAAACGGGAAGAGATAGTGCTGGCGTAAAAGGATTATTTTCATGTTAGAGTTCTGTATCCAGCTAAGCTACAGTTGAGTGTTAAGAGCAAAATAAGGAGTCTCAGGTATGCAAAGATTTTTAAAAATCATGTTCCATCCATCCTATCTGAGAAAGTTACATAAAAATGTGTTTTAGCAAAACAAGGGTGATAACTAAGACAAAGGGTCTTAGAAGATAATGGGATTACCAGAAATTTTAGAACCGAGAACTTGAGAGTAAAGGAATCCCCAGATGACACCTGTTCATCAAGACTATTTCTTTAAAGAGAAGTACTTCTTTATAAAAAAAGTAGCTTCATTGTATTCTACTGCACCTAATTTGTTTACTGCCTCTATTGGATTCTTTTTTAAGTTAGGAATATTATTTTTTTAATGAAAACAGCCTTTCTTAATCCAAGATTTTTCATTCAGAAAAATTAAAATACCTTCTTTAATCTTATGACTATGACCTAGAGATTTTTCTGTTTCCTCCTTTTTCTTGCGTTTCAAAAGGAGACATTTGTTCAGATTTGTCATAGTCTTCCTGTTTGATCAAAGTCTTTATGTCTGATGGGTTTTTGTTAAGATTAATTACGTCAGAGTTTGTATTAAACCCCTTTTCAAATCTTTTTGATTCAGAGAGGGTAAAAGTAAACTTTATGATCAACTAATTTGCTTTGCCATGTTAGAGAAGTATTTGCTTGTGGAGATAAGGATGGGATCCATAACTAGAGAAAGCAGGTAGCAAGTTGCTTTAGCAAAATTCAGAGGATGTTAGTTACTGCAGCTCTAAATTAGGGGGGAAACTGTCTTCCTTTTCTAGTTGTCATGGCGCTCTCAGTAAAAGCCAGCTGAGGCTTCATTATCTGTTTTACCTGGAATGTTTTCCTCACAGAGTTTAAGCTTGGCTTGTTGCTCTATGTGCAAGCTTCCAGTATTCTTCTAAAGCAGAATTTGCCTCCTTACTGCTCCATGATTCTTGCCTCCACTCAGCCATGAGGTAGAGAGTTGACTGGGGTCCAGCAGGGGACTCCTTCTACTTACTCTCCAGGTGGGTTTTTCCTTCTTATGCAATGACTTAGATGGCCTTTCCTCAATCCATTCCCACTTTTACCATGTCTTTAAAGCTTCCAGTATAGTGATTATATCTAGATTCTAATATTGACTCAGATTTCTTTTGGTCCCCATTTTATATTTCTTTGGTAAGGTCAAAGGGTAATTTGGATGCTGCAGGAATTCTGAAGTACTAATTTTTTTTTTTTTACTGATCTCACTAGCTGAGAGTTTAAGTCAGCTAGCTTTACAGGACACTCATTATACATTGTAATTTATTGAGCTGGGAGTTTGATTACTTCTTCATGAACAAAGCTATTCTGGTAATTTATCAGTCTTTATTAGATTTAAGCATGAATTAGTTAAATCACAATTAAATGCAAGTTGACCCCTTAGGAAGTCTTTGAAGTTTCACATGTATGTTTTAATTTGATACGTATATTGTAATATGATTACCACCACAGCGATAGCTAACACCTCCATCACATCACATAATTAACTTTGTGTGTGTGGTAAGGACATTTAAGATCTACTCTCTTAGCAGTTTTTTATTATATAATATAGTATTGTTAATTATAATCACAATGCTGTACACTAGATCCCCAGAACTTGTCTTCAAACTGCACATTTGTACCCTTAGACCACCATCTCCCAATTCCCCCACCCTCTGGTAACAACCTAGTTCTGCTGTATCTAGAGTTCAGTCTCAGATTATTTGTAAGTGATATCATACAGTATTTGTCTTTCTCCGACTTATCTCACTTAGCATAATGCTCTCAAGGTCCACCCATGGCAGGATTTCCTTCTTTTTCACGGCTAAAAAATATTGCATTGTGTCTATATATATTACATCTTCTTTATTCATCCATTGGTGGACACAGATTGTTTCCAGCCTTTTTATGACTCACTGCAAAGTTTAAATCATATCATTGCTAACATAAAAATAAATGATGTAAAAAAAAATCAAATGGTATGTATCTATGCTTAAATCTAGACTATAGCTAATTTTCACAAATATGTAAAACAATCTAATTAGGCTCAGAATATGCATCTTAACTGAGATTGCGCAGTATTTTTATCTGTCCTTTTCCATTAGACAGGAAGCTCTATGAAAATAGGGACGTTTTAATTTTTATACTCAGCCGTTAGCACTGGCTATGAGAGTTCTTTTAATAATTACTATGCTTATTTAATAATTTTAAAAATTGCTTGCTTGTTAGAGATGGAAGAAGCTTTAAAAATTCTGTATAGTCCAGTGGTTTTTAAAATCTGTATTCCCAAATCCTAGACTACTGAGGTAGTACCTCAGGGTCTTCCACTAGAGTGAAGTGGAAAAAAAGTGAATAAATCTACACCACTTGAACCAGAGAATTTGTGCTTTTACCTGCTTGATACTTCTCTGACTCCCAGGCACTGTGTCAGTTGGGAGTATAGGATGTGCCCTTCTCATATTTGTGGGTCTCTGACTCACCATGCACAGTATTCCAGGTTCCTCTCCTTCATGCTTTAGTCAGCATGTTCATTCCATGCTGGCTAAAGAACGGTAATATATCCCTAAACCTGCTCTCTCTGTCCCTAATGACTTTATTAACAGAAGCTTTATCTGAGAAGGTTCACTGATTTAATGAAGTTGACCTCAGATATCAACTTTACATCTCTTGGTAGGCAGCGTGGTGTCTGCAAAGATGAACTTTGGAGACAAATTACCCTTTCGCTTACTAGCTGTGAATGCTGGAAAGGTGTACCTTATCCTCTTTGCACTTGTCTACTCATTTATAAAATTATCAACCCTTCTTTACAGGTACTAACATGCCTGGCATGTAGTAGGTACTCATTGTATTCTTCCAACCTGATCCTAACTCTGTTTATTATTAAAGTTCAGTATCTTTGAGATGCCTGCCTCATTTTTCTTATTCCTTTTTAGGCAGTTTTGTACAACGACAGATCTGTTCTGGAAAATCATCACGCTGCATCAGCCTGGAATCTGTATCTTTCTCGTCCAGAGTACAACTTCCTTCTTAATCTTGATAATGTGCAATTCAAGCGCTTTCGTTTTTTAGTCATTGAAGCAATCCTTGCCACAGATCTTAAAAAGCATTTTGATTTCCTTGCTGAATTCAATGCCAAGGTTTGTTATGCAAATTAATTCCTGGTTTCAAAAGCAGAAATTATTGTCAGTGTTACTGACAAAAGTTATTTTTTTGTTTTGTTTTAAATTTTGAGAGTTTATTTGATCAAAAGCTGATTTGAATCAGGCAGCATCCAGTCTAACAGAAAGGAGCTCCAAGGACCAGTATAAAATGAAAGACTTTTATAGGCACAAGGGGACAGGAAGTTATACTGGGCAAAAGAGCGGGTTGGTAATTGAAAAGTTACTTTTCTTTGGGGGATGGCCAGGTTCTATCAGTCAGATGACCTAACTGATTAGGCCATTCCAAAAGGTATTTTTTTAACATTAAGTTAGAATAAATCTGAAGTCATGAAGTCATGATAAGTCTGACATAATACAATATATATGCCAATATTTTTTAAAAATTATAACATGTCCAAAAATACTATTGCTTGCTACATTTCCAATTATGTCAATTGAAACTTTTAGGGACAGATTTGAGAATGTTGTGCACAGTGCCAAGTAAGGCATTTTATGAAGTTAAAGATGTGTTTCTAAGAAGCCAGTTATGCCTACTTTGCTTCACCTGTTTCCCTTTATATTATTACGTGTTTAACTGGCTGGTGTGGGTCTGGAGAAGTACATGAGAATAAGGCACTCATTGAACTACTGTTTATTGGGATTGCCCACTGCATGCAATCGTCCTAGTGAAGAATAAGGAATGAGCAGATGGAAGTCCCTGTCCTCACTGAGCTCACATTCACTGTGGAATTGAGAATCACTGCCCTTGTGTGATGGTACTAATGGGAGCACGTTCTATCCCTCAGAAGTTGGGGTGAAAAAATGTTGAGAACCACTGCTTTAGATTCCTGAGGGAAGGATGCCCCACCTTCTGCAGGCAGGAAATCGTTTTCTTGATAACATTTGTGCCCTAAAGGAAGGAGTACCTTCAGGGCAGAGGAACAGGTATCAAAGGAGTACTAGATTCAACCTCCTGGAAGGAGACCTATATATGTCACTGTTGTGATATTGATAAAATGTTTATAAAAATCAGCAAGAAATTTGAAATTTCTTTAAACTTATTTCATCGCTGTGTAGCTTTATTAACTTTTTATTTAATAAAAATTCACTTAAGTGCTTAAGTCAGAGTAAATAGAAGTTTTTATAGGTGAAAGATTATCTAGCCCAAAACTTTTGAATCTGTGTTCCTCAGAGATTTCTATTCTGTAGTCTCTCAGAAAAATGTCACATGAGTGGGGCTCTAGACTACACAATTTCTTTCTTTTCTTTCTTTTTTTTTTGGCCATGGGGCGAAGCTTGCGGATCTTAGTTCCCGACCAGAGGTTGAACCCGGGCCACGGCAGTGAAAGTGCAGACTCCTAACCACTGGACAGCCAGGGAATTCCCTAGACTACACAATTTCAATCTAAAGAGCTCGCCTTTCTTTTAACTGTTTTCTGTAGTGGTGGTCTACAGAAGAGTTCCTTTAACAAAAGGGGTGGATGCCAGGGAGTCCCCTGGTGGTCCAGTGGTTAGGACTCAGGGCTTTCTCGGCCGTGGCCCTGCTTCAGTCCCTGGTGGGGGGGAACTAAGATCCTGCAAGCTATGCAGCACAGCCAAAAAAAAGAAAAAAGAGGGGGGTAGATGCCAAAAAAAAAATCTACCATCACAATAAAGTTCCAAAGCCACTGATCTGGCCTATTCACTTTATTTCTTACAAGAGGAAATTTGAGTTCTTGAAAGGCATGTTAATTTGCCTGATAACTAGCATTTATTTAAATAACAATGTTAGCATTTACTATGAACTGTGAATTTTTCTTTGTTAATCCTCATGGCAATATGGCTAGATTGATATTTTTCCTATTTTATAGATGAAGAAGGGTGGACTCAAGGAGCTTAAGTAATTTTTCCAGCATTATGCAATGAATTAGTAAATCATTCTGAGTCAGGATTTAAAACCATAGAGATTAGCTTCTAAGACTTGTGTTCTTTCAGCTATATCGCATGTTGTCTTTTACAGTTAGATCCTTAAGTGTTCCTTTTTGAGACAGAAATAGTTATAATTCTTATATGATTTGGTTTTGCATATACATATATATTTTATATTATATCGTATTATATACGAATGTGTTAATATACACAAATTACAATTTTCTCTGGTAATCACAAATACTGAAACCCATGGTTTGTTGTTCTGCTTGTACAGTGCTCTACTTCCATTGAAACAAAACCGTAAACGACACTTCAAAGGGAAATTTAACCCATAGAGGTACATGTTATGGCACAAACCAATTAAAAGAAGCATTTATTGAAATTCCTTCCTGTCCTTTGGACAGGAAACAGTTTTAAGACAATTTGGTAAAAACAAAAAACTGGGGAATTCCCTGGCAGTCCAGTGGTTAGGACTCCACGCTTTCACTGCCGAGGGCGTGGTTTCAAACCCTGGTTGGGGAACTAAGATACCACAGGCCGTGCGGTGTGGCCAAAAAAAACCCCCCACAACAAAAAACTCCTGTGCCCTCAGCACCTAAAATAATTCTGTTTTTCCAAACTAGGCCAATGATGTAAACAGTAATGGTATAGAATGGAGTAATGAAAATGATCGCCTGTTAGTATGCCAGGTGTGCATCAAACTGGCAGATATAAATGGCCCAACAAAAGTTCGAGACTTGCATTTGAAATGGACAGAAGGCATTGTCAATGAATTTTATGAGCAGGTAAGTTGAAACATTAGATTGGTGGGACTTTTAGATTGGTGGACTTTTCTGCCATCTGAAGACACTACCCTTTGGGTTTGGATAGCTACATTAAATGCTTGAAATGAGTTGCTTTAACCAAAAATGGGTTGCATTTGCTCTGGTCTTAATATTTTCTCAGCTCCTTTGCCTTTGTTTCTAAAATTTAAAAACAGGGAGTTCCCTGGTGGTCCAGCGGTAAAGAACCTGCCTTACAACACAGGGGACGTGGGTTTGATCCCTAGTCAGGGAACTAAAATCCCACATGCCACAGGGCAACTAAGCCTACACGCCACAACTACTGAGCTCGTGCACCTCAACTAGAGAGAGAAAACCCACACACTACAACCAGAAAGAAGCTCACACGCCACAAGGAAAGATCCCGCATGCCTCAACGAAGATCCCATGTGCCACAACTAAAGACCCAACGCAGCCAAAAATTTAAAAAATAACAATAAATAAACAAATTAATCTTTAAATTTTAAAAACAAAAATAGTTTATTGCCAATCTGGAGTGGGTTGAATGTACTCCAGTCTAGAGCTAAGGAAAGACTACATATTGATTCCAAGGTCCCTTTCAATCCTGAAAACCTATAGCCTAGGATAATTTATTTCCAGAAGAAGTTGTTTAATTGATTCAGGGTATATTTAGATTGCATTTTTAAAGTATCAACCCATTTTCAACTCTGCTATAGAAAGACTGCCTTAGATACATCAACTACGTAAAAGTCCTGGCAAAGGGTAAGAAATTAGCACTAGAAATGGGGACAAAGTAGATATTGAGTGGCTTTCAAGTTTCAAAAATATAAACATGCTCTTTTCTCATGTTTTTAATCTTGTCTTTAAAATAATCCTACCACTTTGCAGTCTTTACCACTTTTCTGTCCAATCTTGAGGCTCCCTACAATGTAGAAAAATACTGATTTCCCCAGAAGCCTAATATTTCATTATCTCCAAAATAACAAATACATCCTCTTGACTGGAACTGCATTCCTTGGGAATCCTTACTAGACCTACTAATCAGGAAAGATCAAGATGTTTACCAAGTGAGACTTCTGTGACAGGGCTTTCTTTACCAAGAGTTGCTACTCTAGTAGGAATGATGAAGGTGAGCCTATAAACTGCACACTTATCCGTTATACCTTGTCACACCCAGATTGTATTGAATGACCAGTAAATGTAGTGTCTTTCACCCACCTTAGCTGAACATCCCTGTACAATAGTGTATACTCTGCTGTTTACAAGTCAACAAAATACCATACTGTGTAATCATGAAAATAGATTAGTAAAATCTTAACAATAATCTTAGAATACTTTTCACTGATACATTTGAACTAAATTATATGTAATTTGGGGTAATAAATGGTTATAAATATTTACCCTAATTTGTAGACTGCAGTATGTATAGTGATGTTTGCATATTCCCATCCTCATTCTCAAAGATAATTGAAGACTGCCTCAGGCTTCAGTTCAGGTTCACAAAAGAATTTTATGCTAAGGAAAATGCTGTCTTTATATTATCTGTACAAACAGTGGTAATAAGAAAGTGGTCGTATATGCCAATTTTAGAAAACCCACTAATTCAGTGAAAGAACATTAGAAAATTTCATTTAGACCCATTTTATGATATATTTTTAAAGTATAGAGAATTAATTCTTATTAAACAAACTTGGAAGCCATGCCTGAGGTTGAATCCTGGCTCCTCTTTCTTCCTTGCCAGCAATGTGACCTCAGGTAAGTTCTGTGCCTCAGTTTCCTCATTGAGAAAATAGGAATATTGATGGTACCTACCTTATAAGGTTGTGTGAGGATTAAATGAATTAATTTATGTAAAGTTCTTAGAACAGTTCCTGACACATAAGTGCTCAATAAACTATTATAATTCCAGATCACTAAAAACAATATAATATTTCAGACAGTTTCACTTAATCTTTCTATTCATTATTCTTATGTCAAAGGAGAAAAATGCCATCTGATAATCCTACCACACAGTGGTCATGAAGGTTAAATGTACTAACCTATAGGAAAGTCAACCCTCATCAAAACCATCAGAATTCCTTCTCAGTCTTGTTCTGCTATTCAACCTTCTTCAGATATGGATGCAAATTTCTAACCTGGCCCAACCTTTTACCTTTTTATTACCTTAGTTATTCTATCTTTATGTATACTCCTATAGCCATTATGTGCCATGGGCTTAGAAAAGCCTAGCTCCTATTTAAAAGTCAAATGTATGAAACTGTAGAATCCTGTGGATAAACCCACCTGGATATTTTTTGTAAATATTAATAATTTTCATCCTCACAGAAGATAAAGCCATATAAGATTTTTAATCATGGGACAGTGAATCATGGGACAGTTTCTGGTTGTCTCCTTAGGGCTCTGTTGGCTCAGCACAGATAGACACTCCTGCTTGCAGAACTTGTGCACTGTGGAGAGTATTCACCCTCCACCAGTTCAGACAGTAGGCACTAAAGTGTTAATAGTACCATTTGGGGACCGCTCAGCCCTGTGCTCGACATTTTATATAATATTGCTTTTCATCCTATAGCAACCCTGTAGATTATTATTCACATCTTACACATGAATTGGGCATAGAGCTTGCCCAGCACCACACAGGTAGTAGGTGGCAAAAGCAGGTTTTGAAACCACATCTGTCTGATCTCCAGTTGTGCTCTCCAGAACCCTAGGGACCACAAGTGGGAGGGTATCACAGGGCAGGCAGCTGGGGTGAACGCTCACCTCAACCACAATAGCTCTACTTTTGTCTGTTTTACATATTGAGTTTTCTGATTTAGATTCATTAAAGGGTTCTGCTGTTAGAAAAAAAAGGGAGGGCATTGGAAAGCATTTGCAAAATTCAACTCTGTACTTCTGAGGTACAACTACAACAAAAATGATTCCATTATATCATCTCCCCATAGGAGAAAGAGGATCTATATTTGATATTATAGAATTTTGGTAATTTATATAGAATTTATATATTCTATTAATATAATTTTGGTTTGTTAGCAAATTTGCTGTATTTATTTATTTATTTATTTTTGCGGTATGTGGGCCTCTCACTGTTGTGGCCTCTCCCGTTGCGGAGCACAGGCTCCGGACGCGCAGGCTCAGCGGCCATGGCTCATGGGCCCAGCCGCTCCGCAGCATGTGGGATCTTCCCAGACCGGGGCACGAACCCGTGTCCCCTGCATCGGCAGGAGGACTCTCAACCACTGCGCCACCAGGGAAGCCCTGCTGAATTTATTTTAAAAGATGTATATTTTTCTTGCTACCTGAATATCAACCGTACTGGTTGACTGGGGGTGTGAGAATAAAGTCTTGTTAAGGATTTCTCAAATAGTAGAGAAATTCTTTGAGTTGGAATGACAGAGTAATTTCACTGATACTTCTTTGTAAAAATTATTTTGAGTTAGACTGTGCTTATTAAAAAACCTCAAGATAATTTTAACAAAGCTCAGTGGTTGTTCTTTCAACAGTTAAATGTATACTTTTCTTTTTAATATGATCAGGGAGATGAAGAAGCAAATCTTGGTTTGCCCATCAGTCCCTTCATGGATCGTTCTTCTCCTCAACTAGCAAAACTCCAGGAATCTTTTATCACTCACATAGTGGGTCCCCTGTGTAACTCCTATGATGCTGCTGGTTTGCTACCGGGTCAGTGGATAGAAGCAGAAGAGGATGATGATACTGAAAGTTGTTATGATGAAGAAGATGGTGAAGAATTAGATACAGAGGATGAAGAAATAGAAGACAACCTAAATCCTAGTAAGATATAAGGATACTGTCATTTCTTTAATGTTATTAATTACCTGCAAATGTCCATTTAATTTGGATTTGTTTTTAAGATACAGATTCAGTAGTTATATCTTAAGTAAGTACTATCTAAATGTTCAGCCTGAATAGTCTCCTTTTGAGTAACTACTGCTTGGGTACCACGCAAATGCTGTCACACAACAAGCATTCTTAGTTAAAGTAGCATCTCTGGAAGTGCTGTCCTCCAGCCAGTGCACTTCAGCAGTCTCTACCTGTGCACACATGATGGGGCTGTCGCCAAATCTGAACTTACGTGAGCTGGCTGGTCCTAGTGGCTAGTCCTCCTTTGCCTAACCCCTCTTCACACCACCCTCCCCTGTTAACATGCCCTTCATACAGACTTGGGAAATAGTTCATTCAACACAGTTGGGAGAGGAGGAAAATACACATTATCTGACTCTAAGAGGAAAACCAAGTTTTGTGGCATTATGGCTTTGAACTACCAAACCGTAATGCATAGTTTTTCTATATAAATCAGTGAGTATAAATGGAAGATGAAAAAGACATTTGTCATCTTTGTAACTAAAAATGAAATCAGTTATTTGCTCTTTAAAGTAGGATTTAAATTATATCTAGCTAATTTTTTTGTTTGTTTCCCAAGCATGCTATAAATCAGAACAGGTAAGACAGCTTGAAACAAGATAACAAAGTACTACCCCCACCCTACCTTGTATTCAGGAGTAGCATAGTGAAGAGTAATCTTATGGCATTTTGGCATTACCATCTGATGTCATCTTGGGAAAGTTGATTGGCTTCTAAAAATTATTTGTACTCACCAAAATTTTGATAATTGTGTTTAATTCAATACATTAAAAAAAATCCCTAAAAAGGATGGTTTTTAACTTTGCATTGTTATTTATCATCAGTACCATCCTCCCTTCTCCTTGAAACTCCCACCCCACCCCATCTTCCCTAATTCCCTCTCTTCTTTATTTTTATCCAGTAACACTTAACACCATCTAACACACAAGTGTCTTGCTTCTTTGCTTATCTTGGTTTTCCCACTAGAAAGAGAGCCCCATGGTGCAAGGATTATTTTAATCTTATTATAACTATAACCCCAGTGCTTAGATAAATGCCTGGAATGTATCAAGCACTCAGATACTTATTGAATGATTGAATCATATTGCTATGATTAGAATACACATGTGTTAAATTTCACAGAACCACAAAGAAGGAAAGGCAGACGGCGAATATTTTGTCAGCTAATGCACCATCTCACCGAAAACCACAAGATATGGAAGGAAATCATAGAGGAAGAAGAGAAATGTAAAGCTGATGGGAATAAACTACAGGTGGAGAATTCTTCCTTACCTCAAGGAGATGAGATTCAGGTCATTGAAGAAGCAGATGAAGAGGAAGAGAGACAGTTGGAATAAAAGAAAAGGCATATTGAAGAAGCCCTGAGGGCCGTGCTCAGTGCCGACGTCATTGCCTAGTGCTCACCACGCTGGCTTGGAACCGACTGCACCTAGGTGGACAGGCGCTAACACTGTGAGAGGATCCCTGCTGTGCCGGCAGTTTCCCACTCCCATGCACTTTCACCACACGGACTAAAAGTATCCTTGGAGCTTGGTTTCAGTTGACTTGTGTTGCCAAGCCCTTACTTAATGCCTTTACTGGTGTATAAATATTAATACTTTGTCATAATACTGCTTTGCTGGCTAGAAGGCTCTTATTTTTCAGGAGGGGGGAGCTATAACTAAAAACTCAAGTGACTCACTTTAGTTTCCTAAGTGGCCAGAACCTTTTCCTTTCTTGAAGACAGGATTAAAAAACAACAACAAAAAATGGGAATTCCCTGGCGGTCCAGTGGTTAGGACTCGGAACTTTCACTGCCATGAATCCCTAGTAGAGTTCAATTCCTCATCAGGGAACTAAGATCCTGCAAGCTGAGCAGCACAGCTGAAAAAAAACCCAAAAACAAAAAACGCCACCAAAAAACATGATTCATATTGTACTTCCAAATGTGTCTTTTATGTCTTTGAATGTTTGGGGGGGGAAATGTCTGTGCCTATCTATAAAAAAGAAATCCAGCGTTGCCTTTCTGAGGGATCTGTTCAATGCAGTATACCGTTCAGTGCTGTTCTCCAGCTAGGTTTATCCATGAAGGACTGAGTAACCTTTGTTATATTTAACAAAATCCAGGTGCATCAATTTTTGATGCTTTTTACTGTTTTTTTTTTTAATCTACTATGTGTGTGTTCTTTCTGCTCAGAGCATTCAGGTTTGCCGTGGACATCAGAAGTCTGAATTCCAGTCTTACTGACTTTATATCCCATGGTTGAATTTTAAAGCTGTTTAGGTTTAACAATGAAGGAATTTTATTCTTTAGTCAAAACTGTTCTTATTTTAACTCTTGCTCAGGATTAGTATTTTTAAACATTTATTTTAATATAAACACAGCACAGATTTGTCAGAAGAAAAAAAAATGTCCTAATATCAATGTTAACCTTTTATGAAATGAGCATTATTCTCTCTTCTTAAATTTGAGACTAATTAAAGCCAAGGAAAAGGAGATGTCTGTCTTTCGCCTTAATACAAAAATCAAATGCAATTAATCCTATCAAAGATAAAGAACAAATGAAATAGCATGAACTCTAAAGGTCACATACATTGAATAAATAATTGAATATGTGCTTAATCTTCAGATCCATATCTTGGGTGTTGTGTGTTACTGTAAAACTGATGCTCATCTTTCTGTTAGTTTCCTTCTGCCTTGAGACTACATGAAATGACCTATGACTACTCAATACTTCTAGAGCTCAACTGCAAGTCTAGTTTCTGAGATAAAGTAAATGGTGGGAGTACTTATTTAATTTTTATATTTTAAAAACCTAAATATTTTAGTAAATCATTTTACACAAAAGCACATTAAGATAATTACAAAGAAAATGGGCCATATTTACAATGTTTATAAACTTGTTAGGGTCCAGATATATACCCTAGTTGTGAAAATTTTTTTGAAGATATAAAATGCAGCCAGAATGACAGCAAGACGGTAGACAATATTTTCCATTATTTTTGGAGACTGTATTATATTTTGGATCTGTGCAGCTCTTATGAAGCTTTTTCAGTTTTCCAAGGTAATTCTTTTTTAAATTAATTTTTACTGTATAGTTGATTTACAATGTTGTGTTATAGTTTCTGCTGTACAGCAAAGTGAATCAGTTATACATATACATATACCCACTCTTTTAGATTCTGTTCCCATATAGTTCATTACAGAGTATTGAGTAGACTTCTCTGTGCAAGGTAATTCCTTTAAAATATGATGTCAGCAGGCAATTTCTTACCTACCTAGATTATTTAGCTTATCTGAAAGATATCAATTAAAGATCTACATAAGTGTTGAAAGTTTTGATCCTGTATAGTATCATAATATTTAATGAATCACTAAGCTTTATTTATTAGATACGGTGAGTGCTAGCTCCTTCCTACTACTTTTGCTACCATTGCCACATCACTGTAAACTGGCCTCTCATTACTGAGTGATAAAATTTTAACTAATTTATTGAGTTTGCCCTTATAATGTCTATATCCTGTGCTTCTTGTTCTCTTGAGTACATTTTACATCCTGCAGAAGTATATTTCTGCTATTGCAAACTACATATATATATATAAATTCACACACATGCATGTGTGCATAATGACTCAAATTTCCTTACTTTCTATTTTATTAAAATTTTGTATTGGGTTGTTTAGTGTATATTTTTATTTTCTCAAAAGAAGCATGTTTTTATTCTGTTAAAAATGCTATTACTGAAAATTCACTTAAGTAATTTAACCCTGAAATTATTTAGCCTTTACAAAATAATTGGCATATATTAAATAACCCAAACACTAAAAAGTATTCTTGCTGAAACTTAAATTCATAAATTGTAAGAAATGAATGTGAGTGTATGTTAAGTATAAACAGTACTATTAGATGGAATCTTACTTGAGAAATTGTGGAAAGTCATATTGCAGATCCTATTTTGGTTATTACTGAATCAGATTAATTTTCTAATTAGAATCATTTTCATCATGAATTTGCTGTTGTTTTAAGTCACTGGTCTTAGAAATAATCTTGTAGTGCTATAATATCTGTGTGCTTACTGACATTTTTCTCCATAAAAGTCTACTTTTTAAAGTTATTTCATGATTTGAAGGCTGTTTCCTGCTATTCTCACTCTGCTGGTGCTGTTGGATTTTTCTACTTATTTTTACAAGAATCCTAGGAATTCTGGCACTGCTTAGGTTTCTGTCTATATTGCATGATCTCATAGGAACAACCTTCACAATAGAGACGAATAGAATGAACTCTGGTTTCTTCACTGTAATTGCCAAGCCAGTCAGCAGCTCTAGAGGGTGTGTGGGGATGACTGGTATATGGAGCAGGGATGAAAGCTTCCCAGAGACTTTAATGCTGAGAACTGAAGACTTAATGAGTTAGCTTGGAGATGATGGCTTGGCTTGTGACCAGAGAATAACAGCATATGTAGAGGCCAGGAGAAAAAGCATCCCACCTTGGAGGAGCCGAAAGAGATTTAGGATGGCTGAAACTTAGAGTGCAAAAAGAGGGGATGGTAGAGAGAGAGTGGTTAATGAAGGGACTTGTAAAGCATGACATGCCACTTAAACTTTATTCCAAAAGGAAATGAGGAAAAATTGAAAGAGTTTTAATATGAAAGTGACATAATTAGATTCACATTTTATGAGGATCATTCAAATAACGTATCATGTTGAGTGGAAGAGTAAGATTAGACATGGGGAGAGCTCAGTGCTCTAGGATAGATTGTAGGACAACAGGAAAGTGAACGGACTTGAGATTTAAGGTATACAATAGAATCAATTTACCCTGATTAACTGGGTATGGTGGTAAGAAAGAGATGATGACCTTTCACAGCCTCCTCACCTGGGAAGCTTCCTAAACCTGATGTGCAGGCCACAAACCAGACCAATCTAATCAGAATGTGGAAAAGAGGGTGGAAGTTGGGTATCAGCATTTTGCAAAAGTCCCTTGAGATTCCAGTGAGCGTCCAAGGTTGAGAACCAATGTATTAGAAGTCCCTGAGGGGCAGGCATGAGTGAGGGCCACGCAGACTGCCTTACTCTGCCTCCCACTCCATCCTCCATCACCTACTCCTCAGGTGCCTCCTCCCTGTCTTAGGGCTGCTGCTGAAGCTCCAGTCAGGCCACGCCCCTTAACTGCTTTCCCCTATATTTGCTGTCCCCTCCCTGTTGATGGCCCTAATGGATTCTGCAGGTTAAACATTCACAGCCGGGAATTCCCTAGTGGTCCAGTGGCTGCCTTTCCATTGCAGGGGGCAGGGGTTCGATCCCTGGTGGGGAATCCCACAAGCCCCATGGTGCAGCCAGAAAAAAACAAACAACCTTCACAGCCATGTCTAGCTGCCCTGAGATTAGCCTGTCAGACAATGGCAGAAACCGCTCTTACTCCTGATTCTAATGGAATAATTTACAGTAAATGGTCTCCCTTCCCCCACCAAGGAGCCCAGTCTCCTTAGACAAATGGAGGTGAGCAAGGGCTGCCTCTAATGGGATGCAGGAGCAGAAATGAGCTGTCCAAATGGAGTGGCTGTCACAGCAGCTGCTGTATTAAGTGAGAGACACTGAGGCTTCAAATCCTTCTTGTAAACTAACCACTCCTGGTGAGAGATGCAGCCAAGAGTCGTACAGAACCCAGGCTCCAGGCTCCAGGGTGGGATTTCCAATTAGAAAGGGCCCCAGGGGAGGTGACTAGGGGGTGGGGGTCCCCCTCTTCCCTGTTGACTTCCTACATCCTTCTTCCTCCTCCCCTTCTTCCCACCCCTTCACACCCTCACCCCTGCTCTGCCCTAGTGTTTGAAAGGATTCCTTGGAGCCTTATTCCTACTCACTTTAAGAGAGAAGTTCCGTTCCAAACCCTTGCTCTGGGCTCAGGTGTCCTCCACTAGTGTATGGGGGGAGCCGAGATTAAGATGCCTGATACCACCTGGCACTGGTGCCTTCCTGGGAACCATGACTCTGAGGACTCACTGATCAAGGAACATTTTCCATGCCCATAAACTTTTCCATCAAGAGAGATGCTGCTCAGCATTGATTATCCATTATTAATTCCCTCATTCAATAAATATTTATTTTCAACACAAACAAGGTGAATCCCATGTTTCTTCTACAAGTTGTGTACAGCCCAGCAGCAGAGAGAAATATGTGCACATGGCGGGACACTCACTGGAGCTGTAGCTCAGATGCCACAGAGGTGGCACTGACAAGATCTCCTTGTCAATATGCTCAAGTTCATGTTCATTTGGTCATTGGTGACCACATAAGTTGCAGTATGCAAGGAGGAGACTTCTGGAAGGAAAGAGAATTAGACTGTGGCCATTCCCTTGGTTGATGTTAACTAGACTTATTGTGATCATTTTGCACTATATACAAATATCTAATCATCGTGTTGTACACGTGAAACTAATTAATATATCAATTATATCTATTAAAAAAAAACCTTAGTAAGTGGTGAGGGGAGACCAGCATGGTAGACAGACACTTTTCGCTTACAGCTAATTTCTAGACTCCACCTGCTGGCAGACATAGGACACTCCTCAACGTACTGCTAACACTGTGTACATTGATTCAGAAATGGGCGGGACAGAGCTTGCCTGTGAAGGTCCCCCCAACGCCTACAGTTGAGCTTGGCAGGACAAAGGTAGATAGTAATACCTGCAATGCCTTAACCTTCTGAAGACAACACTAATACAATTTAAGGATTGAATGGGAGGTAGAAGATAGGTTTGATGGCCTACCTCCCCTTTCTGGGAAAATTTCTATCTCCATGTGGTTTAGACGACCTTGTTGGAACCACAAGGGTCTGACCCACCCCTCAGGCCAGAGTTTATTGATCCAAGAATTTACACCGAACCCAAGTTCCAACCCATAGACTAAGCTTAGTCCGCCACATTCCTCCTAAGAATTTGAACTAGTAAACTAAGAAACCAAGATTAAGAACCACACTATCAGATAGTAGAGATATTGGACTTAAAAGGTCATTACAATGGATCAAATTTTTGTGTTCCCCCAAGTTCATATGTTGAAACCTAATCCCCAATGTGACAGTGTTTGGAGGTGGGGCCTTTGGTTGGTAATTAGGCCAAGAGGGCAGTTATGCAAGGGAGGATTAACATTAGAAATTGAATAATGGGAAATTCCCTGACGGTCCAGTGGTTAGAACTCAGCGCTTTCACTGCCCTGGGCCCAGGTTCAATCCCTGGTCAGAGAACTCAGGTCTCATAAGCCACATGGCACACCCCAAAAAAATTTTTTTTGATTAATGTAATTAAACACATTAACCAATTAAAGGAGAAAAAAAGAATTATTATCTCAATGGATGCAAAAAATAATAAAAGTCACTCATTTAAGAAACAAAAGAGGAATGAAAGAAGGATGGATGCATGGGAGGGAAAAAAGAGATAAACCTAGAATATAGGGAACTTAGGTTTGTGGGGTATGCACAAAAGAAATAACAGTCGATGACATATTTAACGATGAAATGTTAGTCATTCCCTTAAACAGACAAGAATGCTCACTATTATCACTTTTCATCAACATGCTACTGGAGGTTCTAACCACAGTGGTAAGAAATAAAAGCCATAATTGGAAAGGGAGAAACAAAATGGTCGTTATTTATAGACGATATTATTGTCTAATGGAAAATCCCAAAGAATTGAGAAAAAATTATATTTTTCAAAATAGAAAGTTTAGCACTATTGTCATATGCTATCAATACACAAATTTCTACTGCATTTTCAGAGAACAGCATCAAATTCTGCTGTCACCAATTTTAGCTTAGAAATGATCCCCAAGTTCAGGGTCCCAGGCACACTTTAATTCTCTTGAGTCTTCACACATAGTCAAAATCCCCTGCTGGGGGCTCCCTGCTTGTTTTTAAAGGAAAGTTTTTAAAGAGGATATTCACAGTTAAACGTCATCAGGAAGACAGACAGTGTAAGTGCCATCCAGCTGCTAACACTTTGTCTCAGTCTATTTTCCCTTAATAGCCCTTTCAATACTATCAGCCTAAATGAAGACAAAGAGGATCCAAAAAGATATAAAATATCCACCACTAGAAGAGTTAGTATGATTCATTGCATTTAAATTCAAATAACTGCTTTTGGAAAAGGATAAATGGAGAAGGGCTGGTTTAATCAGCCCTCTAATGATAATAGCCCTGGAAGCTGTTGTCAATTACCTATGTTTCTCTGGTTAAGAAAAAGAAAAAAGGCAAAGGGTGTCATAAATTGCATTCGTCAGAATATACTGTCTGCATCCACCCCATTCTGAAATAGCCAGATAAAATAAATGGAACATTGGTAAATTAGAAGTCCAGAGAAGAGTGATAAGAGCCAAATCAGATAAAGAACGTATGATAACTACCCTGAACTTGGTGTTTATTTTTCCCATCTAGGACTTTACACTTTTACTACATAAGTATGTTTCTATTACAAACATATGCACTTTTTAAACTTTAAATAAAGAGCACCATACTTCACACCTTCTTTGCAAGTTTCTTCTTGCAAAAAATTTTTTAGGCTTATTCATGTTTACATGTGTAGCTCTATTTCATTCATTTAAATTTCTGAATTGTATTACATTGTACTTATCCATTTCCTCTTGAGGGACATTTAAAGATTTTTTAATATATGCTATTGTAATAAACATTGAACTTAAAGGGAAATTTTAAAACATACAAATCCTATGACCCATCTTCAGAGCTTTTGACTTAGTAGGTCAAAGACAACCATATAAAAACCACCACTACCACCTGTGATTCTAATGTTCACGTCAGTTTTTCAACCATTGAAGGTTGACCCCATCTCCACTCACCACCTCTCTCCCTACACCACTTTACAATTAAGTCCCTGGAAGTTTACAAAGTCCCTAGAAGTTTGGACATGCTCAAGGTCAGAGAAAGATTCATGGATTTTGCAGCCATCATGTGCTAAACTTTAGATAGGTCCTGTGGATATAAAATAATAAAGAAGACAGAAAAAACCCTGCCTTCCTTGAGCTTATCATCTAGACCAGCGCTTTTCAAACTTTTATGTGCATATGAATCACCTGGGGATCTTAAGGCATAGATGCTGATTCACAAATC